TTAATGATTTCTGTATAACATTGGAGTAGTGCATTGTCAAAGGAAGAATCAATTTTCGTAGAAATTTTCTACATAAAATTTTGTTGACCCACACTAGATCTGAATTAGTTACTTAATAAGGCAATTTCAAAAAGCAATAATAATTCTACTTGTCATGATGATAAGATCTTTTGTAAAAGCAGGGTTATGTGAAATTCAATGAAAGCGTTAGCTCTACTCATATGATAGTGAGAAAATTCTTCATCGCCTTATACGAAATAGTGTGTATATATCTCATATAATAAAATATTCTACTCTTACTAATATAAGTAGTAACATAGTTTATGCGATAAATTCTATATACGGTTTAAGATTAATCATGCCTATTAACAGTTCGGCTACCATGCAGGCTACCATTAGGTTTAACTGATCTCCTCTAGATATCTTCGTTAAATGTCATTTATAGTCTTTATGTCGTTATTTGCTCAGCTTATAAGACTGCTTGACGTTATTAATGTCATCATGAACATTAAATGACGATAAAATCGGCTTACTTCGTCAACATCCTCTCTTCTTGATAGCTTCATGCCAAAACGCTCATTTTTGCCTTTCCTGTAAATTGTCAAGCGGACTGCTTTATTGACATTCAACAAATCCATAAGTCGACACATCGACTTATTAGAACAGCCATTAGTTCGGTAGTATGGACTCGCATCTTTAGAGGCACAAAAATGCATCGCTTTCTGGCACACATTCGTAGAAAATTCATCAGTGGAGATCGAGTCACTTGATGAACTGGGCGAGCTGATCTCGTGGCATTTAAGGTATTTCTCAAGAGCAGAATTTGTCTGGTTTATCTCGGACCACCTGCCTAGGGCTGCTTCATTTTCACGGTAATGAGGCCCATAGGAATGGTTGCCGAACCGTTTTTTATCAGCATAAAAAGATGGTTTTCTGGAAGTTAAATTGTGATTATGGCTTAAATCTCCATATCTGGTTTCTCCATCTATTTCTATCCAATTTTCAGAATGCTCCATCTTCAACCGTCTTTCGGCATATTTCTGCTGCATTTTCAGCCAATCCTTGGGAGTCTCCGAATACCGTTCAATCGAGTGTTCATAATCCGATTTTTCTGAAAGCAATTCTGAAGAAGCGCTCCAATCTGGCCGGTTTAGCAGGTCTTTTCTGATAAACTCTTGTAGGCTGGACGCATAGGCGTAATAGGGTGGGTAAGAGGGTAGGCCGTTCGAGTATTGAAGGTCTTTTGGCCGTTTCAGGGGAGAATGTATTACTCCACGATGTTGCTTAAACATGCAGGAGAAATCCTGTTATAAAAAATTCAAATATAATAATGAGCAAATAAGCTAGTAGAGCAATTATAGAAAAAGAATAGTGAATTAAAGATACTTCTTAACCTCATGACTAACATAGAACTGTTGATTTAAAAATCTAATAAATAGGTTGCTAATAAATAATAAATCTTTAAATTCTTAGTTAAGGTTAATATGAATTAATTAAGTAACAGTGCGAACTCAGTAAGAAAATAATTAAAGAATAATAATTATTATTATTCAGAAATATGTAATATATAGGTTGCTAATAAGTAATAAATATTTAACTCCTTAGTTAAAATTAATATTAATTAATTAACTAATAGTGCAAACTCAGTAAGCAAATAATTAAAGAATATTTATTATAATAATCTAGAAAAATTTAAAAATAGTTTGCTATTAATTAATAAATTTTTAAATTCTTAGTCAAGGTTAATATTAATTAATTAACTAATAGTGCAAACTCAGTAAGCAAATAATTAAAGAATATTTATAATAATAATCTAGAAAAATTTAATAAATAGTTTGCTAATAAGTAATAAATCTTTAAATTCTTAGTTAAGATTAATATTAATTAATTAACTAATAGTGCGAACTTACTAAGCAAATAACAATAGAATAATAATTATTATTATTTAGAAAAATGTAATAAATAGGTTGCTAATAAGTAATAAACCTTTAAATTCTTATTTAAGGTTAATATTAATTAATTAATAGTGTTAACTTAGTAAGCAAATAATTAAAGAATAATTATAAGACTAATAAGTATACTAAATAAATAATATTTGTTTTATTTGCAAACGTATCATTTATAGCAGTCTTTGCAACTAATCAAGTATAAAATAGGAAAATTCGATTTTTGTGTTGGTGTGATAAACTTGTTGATAGTGAAACTCTGCTCTGGGTCTAAGAGTTGTTAATGAGCCAGCTGGCCTAAATGTATTTCAATATGATACAGTTTGACTATTCTGCTTCGTCGCCAGCATATCCTCCGAACAGTCGCCTAATCTTTACGCTACGTGCTTTCCAAGTCTCAAGCAATGGACTGCTAGCCTCTACTCTTCCGCAAGAATGAAGTCACTTATAGTTCGTCACAAGTGATGTTAATGGTGTTTTGCTATTATTACTTAATAATCAATTGTTTAACTAATTTTCCGAAGGGTTTTATTTCGGGAAGGCAAATATAAATGTCACAAATAATTTGGGAAATAATATGTTGAATGATCTTGATACTGTTAGTAAAAGATGAATTTACTTTATTAGCATTGATGTGAAATCAGAAAGGCTCTCTTTGTACTGCCTCCATCCTGGACGTGCATTAAAAATATGTTTACCTCACGTGCAACAATGACTTTTCATTAAAACCAATTTATTTAGATTAACTTTTGCATTTAACCTAATTGAAATAGTA